TTAACTAGATACCAATTCAGCAGTATACTGGAAAAGGCTTTACATTTTCTTCATATTAGTAAAGGTCATTTTAGGTCACATAGTTTTGGAATTGGGGGAGCCACGGAACTAGCCAGGCAGGGGGTCTCAGAGGAGGTAATTATGAAATTAGGCAGATGGAAATCGCATGCTTATTCTCGCTATACATGTATTAGGTTGCAATTTTTCTAGTTTCAAAAGGCTAACAAGCTACAAGTTTTCACAGGTCCCAAGATTTTATGGATTGTTGGAAGTTCCCTTGTTCATTGGGCCAATGTAGAGGCGAAGAAATATGGTAGGACCAACCTGGGACTGGAGTCCAAAGGTGTTACAACATACTGGATTGGGCAACCTGGTTTACAGATTAAAGATTTAGACTCTCTACTGGATGCAAAAAGAAAATTTTTACCTTCTCCTAATTTTATTATTATTCACTGTGGAGCTAATGATTTGACAGATTTAGAATTGACAGGGAAGGGTTTAATTGAAAATGTAAAATGTTCTATCCTACGTTACCAGGCTTTATTTAAAAATGTTATTATAATATGGTCTTCAATGCTACAGCGCAGATACTGGCATTTTGCACCCTTGAATGCGGGTGCAATAATCGAACAGAAGAGAAAAAGAGTGAATTCAGTGGTCAAAAACTTTGTAATAGAAAATGGGGGGAAAGCTATTTTACATGAGAACATTAGGGCAAGTGAAGTGTCTTTATACAGAACAGATGGAACTCATTTATCACAAACTGGAAATCAGGTTTTCTTAAATAATATACAAGGAGGGGTTGAGTCTTTCCTACGCACAACAATTTCAACTTTTCCAATGCTTCAATAATGTAAATTTTGTGGAGGTGAGAACCCAAGTCAGATTTGGTAGCTGACTTGGGCTCTCATGTGGCGGTCCAGGGAGACTGGTAGTGATTGGGGGATTATTTCACTCGGCCCTTGCTCTGGGCCTGACAAGTTCTACAATTTGCAGGTTTGGAAAAAGTGGTAACGGTGGGGTCTACAGATGGGTAACTCTGGGACCTCCTCCACCTCATCTTATAGAAGGGAGGCCTACACCTGCCAACAGGTGGGGCACTAATAACTGGAGCATTGGTAATACGAGTGTTTTCCTCGGTCACTCCCCATGGTAGGTGGTGGTGTAACCGTGTTTAACTACCAGGGGTTTTATGACACTATGTCAACATAGGTCAGCTGATAGCCATTGTGTATAGGTAATCGGTAGTCACCCTGGCGCCTCAACAAAATATTATAGAATACTCTGTAGCCAAAGTAATGCCACAAAGTAAAAATGTATATTCTAGTCATAAAAATGTAAATACAAGTTGGTGTAATAAAATGTATGTGTAATTAGAATGATTGTTTTTGTATAAGTTGTAAAAGTTATAAAGGAAAACAGAGGATGGAACCTCTACACAAATGAGTATAATATACAGAAAGTCTGTAGTATTTTAATTTTGGTATTTGTGAATTACAATTAACAACAGACAAAGAGAGACAACTCTAGAACAATTTTTAATCACTTTGTGATTAAAGGAAGGACTTCAACATAGTTTAGAAAATACGTCAACAACTCTTGATCGTTGTTCTTCATCTCATTGTTATTCGTTCAGTATTAATATAGGGTCTTCTTCTATGAGTATTGCAATTAATAGAGATTATCAAAATTTTATATTTTCAATAATCTGGTTTAATTCAATCAAATATTTGTGTGGGTGTGTGGGTGTTGCAGCCTTTAGCTCATTGCCATATTTGGCATGGCCATAGATGGCGCTCTCAGGTGGAATCTGAATTTTGGAATTCCCGTATCGGGCACTTGTTAATTTGCTGTCAACAACAAAGCAGGTGCTGCAGAAATTAGTTAAATTATTTAAAACCCACCCACCCTCCCAAATAAGAATAGTTGCTGCTGTTTTTTTTGTTTCATATTTTCAGGCACTAGTTTGCTGTATTTGGTTGCCATATTATGGTTACCAGTATCCAAACAGTTCCTCCATGGTATTGGACCAATACAGGATAGTTTGGAGTAAACTTGCGTTTCTTTGATTTGGACATTTCCGTTATTAAGCACTTTATTTATATATGAACTATTGTGATTTAAGCAACCAGAATGAATTTAAGTTTATATTAATTACCAATTTTATTAATTGGGAAGAAAACAAGACATTTTAAAGAAATTAATTTTCTTCTACTATCCTTAGGCGCAGAGTCAATTTTGAATGGGGGAGGTCCAGGGAGACTGGTAGTGATTGGGGGATTATTTCACTCGGCCCTTGCTCTGGGCCTGACAAGTTCTACAATTTGCAGGTTTGGAAAATGTGGTTAGTGGTAACGGTGGGGTCTACAGATGGGTAACTCTGGGACCTCCTCCACCTCATCTTATAGAAGGGAGGCCTACACCTGCCAACAGGTGGGGCACTAATAACTGGAGCATTGGTAATACGAGTGTTTTCCCCGGTCACTCCCCATGGTAGGTGGTGGTGTAACCGTGTTTAACTACCAGGGGTTTTATGACACTATGTCAACATAGGTCAGCTGATAGCCATTGTGTATAGGTAATCGGTAGTCACCCTGGCGCCTCAACAAAATATTATAGAATACTCTGTAGCCAAAGTAATGCCACAAAGTAAAAATGTATATTGTAGTCATGAAAATGTAAATACAAGTTGGTGTAATAAAATGTATGTGTAATTAGAATGATTGTTTTTGTATAAGTTGTAAAAGTTATAAAGGAAAAACAGAGGATGGAACCTCTACAAAAATGAGTATAATATACAGAAAGTCTGTAGTATTTTAATTTTGGTATTTGTGAATTACAATTAACAACAGACAAAGAGAGACAACTCTAGAACAATTTTTAATCACTTTGTGATTAAAGGAAGGACTTCAACATAGTTTAGAAAATACGTCAACAACTCTTGATCGTTGTTCTTCATCTCATTGTTATTCGTTCAGTATTAATATAGGGTCTTCTTCTATGAGTATTGCAATTAATTGACATATTATAGGTTTCTGAATAAATGTATTCAAAGAACTTAAAATTGGTTATATGAATTGAATTTATATTCAATTAAAGATTTCTTGCTGTTGTGCAATACACTGTGCTGTTGAGCAATACTTAGTAAATCTGTTGTCAGACTATAAACAAATAAAGTTCAATTTCTTCTCAATGTCATATTTGAAAATTATGAAAATCAATAGGGAGATTACATCAATAACTATAAATAATTCACCAAAGTTTCATGAGAACTGCTGAAAGCATTTTTGAGTTATTGTCCAAAACTGGAAAATCCCCCCTTTTTTAATGAATAAAACCCCATAACTCAGAAATGTAAAATCTAAAATTTATAAAATTCTAAAGGAAGCTTACATCAACAGATATAAACAATTCACCAATGTTTCATGAGAACTGCTGAAAGCATTTTTTAGTTATTGCCCGAAAACTGGAAAATCACCCTTTTTTTATGAATAAAACCCTGTAACTCGGAAACGTAGAATCTAAAATTTATAAAAATCGAAAGGGAGCTTATGTCAATAGATATAAACAATTAATTAAAATTTCTTTCAAGTTGGTGAAAGCATTCTTGAGTTATTGTCGGAAAACTGGAAAATCCCCCTTTTTTAATGAATAAAACCCCAAAACTCGGAAACGGTAAATCTGAAATTTATAAAAAACAAAAGGGAGCTCACGTCAATAGATATTAAACAATTCATCAAAGTTTCATGCATATTGGTTGAAGCTTTTTTGAGTTAATGTCCGACTTGTTGAGGGACGTACAGACAGTCAACGGTATACCATTATACGTCCAATAAATGGGCGTATAAAAAAAAGTAAGTGTGTTTACTTCCAGTGCAATTTCTAGAGCATATGTATCATGGATTTGACTCGAAGCTTTTACATTTAAGTGATAACAAAATTAAATGGTTTAAAGTTTATAAGGGACTTGTATATCTCTAACAGAAATGTTCAAATTGTTTTAAAAGGATTATTATAGGATAATTGATATTTGCAAACGGCAAATCTCATAATCAGGACATAGAATTATATGTCAAGCTTGACTGGCTTCAACTTTCTGGGGTACAATTAACGAGATAATAAGCGAATTATTACTTTTTAATCAAAGGATTGTCAAAATATGTTTCGAAAGCTGTATTTATACAATTAAGAGCAAGGTAAATAAGCAAATCCTAAGTTTTGACTTTTCAATTGTTTTCTTTTTGAAAGGAAAAAAATTGATAAAACCGAATGTATATTTCACTTCTAAATACCAGAATCAATAATGGTCAGAAATACGGGTGAAAACGGGTCATTTTCTGAATTCATGGGTTATTAGATCACCCGTCGGGTATTTAAAAAATCCCGGGGAGAGGGGAAATTCACGGGTGTGACCCGCAAAATATGGGTCAGTTGACAGGTTTGCAAGCTATAAAAGGCCCTGACATGACAAATATACATGAAACTGGTTTTCAAATAGTGTTTTTACAAAGATTGTTAGTAGTTTTAAGGAATGAATGGACTATCAGACACAACAACCACTAACAAAAATTGGCCTACTTGAAACGTAAACTTTATCTACCCCCTAAAATCTTCATAGTACAAAATGAAGTATGGCAACTGCTGTCACTAAATAATATAAGCAGAAATGTCAAGCCCAAAAATCACTCAGGACAAAATAAAAATAGCAGCTACTCAACATAAGCCATCCTTAAAAGATTGTTAGTTTCCCCTAACCCTGCTTGGTCTGTTTCTACCCTCTGAGTGATTTTTTTTTTACCAGATAAAATGGCCTTACTGTCCTGTAGAAAAATCTATGTAAGGTTGGTTGAATTCTGTCAAGCCTTTTTCAAGAGGTGAGGATAAACAGAGAGTGCATGAACAAGAACGCAATACAACTAAAAATACCCCTATGTGTTGCTACAGCTTCATGGTCAAGTAACAACAAAAAAATCCTTAGCACTGAATATATATTTACATACCTATGAAAATCTCCAAGCAAGAGGTTTCCAACTAAAACCAGTTGGGTACAAAGTAAAATTCTTTCCTTCATATCTATGGTTGTCTCTGTATCTACGACATGGTCATCTTTAAACAAACTAATGAAGTGCTTCTTATTTTCTTCAATCATCCTCCAAGCTTTCATACAGTTTTTGTCCATTTGTTCACCTATTTTCTGCACAGCTTTTTCAAAATGACTGACAAATCCTTGCCTTGCCATTTTAACTTCATCTTGAAAATATCCATCCTTAATTAGTTCTTTTAGGAACATGTAAACAAGTGGATGCAAAGAATACCTCAATTTCGAAGACAAAAAAATGTCAATTGTAGCCGAACTTGTTTTCTCTTTTGGCATGTAATCTTCAGTTTCTGCTATTTCAACAAAATGCCGAGTTTTTAATGCTAACAGATCCATTTTGGGTCTCATAGTCATGTAAAGTTCACCAAACACAGCACTGGCAGCAGGAAAATCAAACTTTGCTGTCTGGAATACCGTAAGTCTTGCCAATTTCTTCTGGTATTCGTCACTGAGAGAACTGAAAGTTTGTCCTAGACAATTGTTAACTTGCAAAGCATGGGAGAGTCCACCCTTTTCTGCAGCTATTTTTAAGTTATATCTAATAACTTGAGGTTCAAGGAGTCCACCATTAACTGCACTGCATGTAGACCTTATAGCCAAGGGACAATACCCACAATATTGTATAATATCTCCAGTTATCTTTCTATCAGTTTTGTACTGAAAATAATAAACAAATTCTATAATGAAATGTTAAATTCACATTCCTAAAAGTTTCTTTCATAGATTTGTAATTATGAAATTGCGACGTCACATACGCTAACATTAAACAATATTCAATTTGTTTTTATTTATGTAAAGCATATATTTTTCATCAGAATTTGATGCAATTTCTTTTGTAATCTTTATATACATGTAAAGACAAATCCAATAAGAGTGAAAAATCGTCTGTCTTTAGTAGGCACTCTTCCAAGACCTTGATGATATAAACTTCATAAAAATTTGACAAGAAATGAAGGTGTGAGGGTGCTTACAATAACATGTTCATTATAAATTACATTTTAAAGGGACATCACTCCTGTAATAGATTAGTGCTGATTTTCAAACTCACCCAAGACATTGCTGATATAAACCTTTGAAATTTCATACAGAAATAAAAGAGGATATTAGAGTGCCTAGCAATTGTGGTCAGCCAAATCAAAATTAAGGATTCAAATGAAACTGAAACATACATGTGATGTAATTACATAGTACAACCATTTCTAAAGGACATAACTCCTGTAAAAATAATTGATCAACACTGATTTTCGAACTTGTCTGAGACATTGTTGATTGAAACCTTGGATAAAATTTCATATATATCTGTCAAGAACTATACACTTGAGAGTGCTAACAATATAGTTTTATGTAGAATTTACATTAGAAAGGGTTATAACTCCTCTCAGAAACATCTGCAAGAAATGTACACTTGAGACCACTTACAATGAGTTTTTTTTATAGAATTTACATTTTAAGGTACATGTAAATTTATCTTCCTCAAAATAAATCATTACCTGTTTGTCAACACATTTTTCATAAAGTTCAGTTGCCTCTTTAACATTGAGGGGCTTCAGTTCTATTTCTAGTACTAACTCATCCATTCTTTTCTGTGATTTACCGATTTGTCGCATTTTATCTATAAACTGTTTATCATCATCTGCAATCAACTTCTGTCTGGATGTAATTAATATTCTGATCTGAAAATATAAATAAACTGTTATCACAGAGATATGTCTCTCCTTTTTGTAATTTTGATAATGCAAATGTTGAAATTAAAATAGCAATACTTTAACATGTAAGTTATGCAAATATTCAATGTCGATGAACCATGACTGAAGGTACATGGCTAAACAATCTCCAAGGAATGAGATGTGCCAATGCTAATACAACTGCATACCAAATACCATTGACTTTTTATAAGTCGTTCCCTTTAAACAAACCTAAACACAACATTAACTTGTAAACTATGTAAAAGTTTCAAAGTCAATGAACCATGATCAGGGGTGGGGCTATATAATCTCCATGGAAACGATACTTGCAAATGCCAATAAATTTGCATACCAAATATCATTGACTTAACATTAGCAGTTCATCTTAAACTGATCTAATCACAAACTAATACATGTAAAATAAGCAAAAGTTTCAAAGCTAATAGACCATGACTGAGGAGGCGGGGCCAAATATTCTCCATGGAAATGAGATGTGCTAATGCTTATACAACTGAACACCAATTAACATTGGCCTACCACTAATGGTTCCCCTTGAACTGACCTAATCACAAATTAATACATGTTAACTTAGCAAATTTTTCAAAGTCTATAGACCATGACTAAGGAGGTGGAGCCAAATAATCTCCATGGAAATGAGATATGCCAATGCTTATACAACTGCATACCAAATATCATTGACCTACCACTAGTGGTTCCCCATAAATTGACCTAATCACAAACTTATACATGTAAACTATGAAAAGTTTCAAAGTCAATAGACCTTGACTGAGGGGGCGGGGCCAAATAATCTCCATGGTAATGAGATGTGCCAATGCTAATACAACTGCATACCAAATATCATTGACCTACCACTAGTGGTTCACCATGAACTAGACCTAATCACAAACTAATACATTGTTGCCAACGCCGGAAACAGCATACCTATGTCTCGCTTTTTGACTCCGTCAAGGCGAGACAAAAATGTAAATTGCTAGTCTCATAATTTAAAGTATTTCATCATTTCTTCCTTTATTATTTTGCACCATCCTATTGTCCATATGTTAACTAATATAAAAATGAGGAGATGTGGTATGATTGCTAATGAGACAACTATCCACCAGAATTAAAATGAAGAGGTAGTAAGCAATATAGGCTCCTGAACGACCTTCAACAATAATAAAAAGCCCATAACTTGTAGTCGGCTATAAAAGGCACTGACATGACAAATGTAAAACAATTAAAAAAAAGTAAAATAACTAAAATACCGAACTCCAAGAAAAATTCAAAACGGAAAGTCCCTTATCAAATGGCAAAATTAAAAGCTCAAACAAATCAAAACAACTGTCATATTTCTGACTTTGTACAGGCATTTCCTTATGTAGAAAATGGTGGATTAAACCTGGTTTTATAGCTAGCTAAACCTCTCACTTGTATGACAGTCACATTAAAATCCCATTATATTGACAACAATGTGTGAACAAGAAAAACAGACATAATAGGTAAAAATGTCAAAGAGAAAACTATAACAAAACAATTTACAAAAAACAAATATGACAGACATGAACCACCGACAACTACTACTCTGTAACTGATGTGTACATAATATAAAAGAATTGATGACAGATCCTTGAATTCTTAAATTTAATCACCAATTTTTCAGTCTCTTAAATTTAATCACCAATTTTTCAGTCTCTTAAATTTAATCACTTATTTTTCAGACTGAAGACTATTTAGAGTTTGAAAAATTGTATAGACACTTGTCTATTGTTAAATATAAATAAGAAGATGTGGTATCAGTGCCAATGAGACAACTCTCCATCCAAGTCACAATGTATAAAAAGTTAACAATTATAGGTCAAAGTACTGTCTTCAACCTTCATCACGGAGCCTTGGCTCACACCAAACAGCATGCTTTAACGGGACCCAAAATGACTAGTGTAAACCAATTCAAACAGAAAAACAAACGGTCTAATCTATATAAAAAACGAGAAACACCTATTAACTACATCAACAAACGACAACCACTGAACAACAGACTGTATGTTAACCTCTAGATTTACATTTTGTATATGCTATTTATCTATAGTCTTAATCATGTACATATAATATGGATTCAATCATCAAGCTTTTTGCAAGTTGCAGTTAACCAATATTACAACAATAACAACAACAGCAACATCAAAACAGCAATTACAGTAAAGCAACATTCCTCCCTTCTTTCAAAAGGAAGGAATATTGTTAAAACAGAGATGCATCTCACCTGTTTTATGCAACAAAACCTAAAAAGCAATTTCATCAAAAGTGTTAATATATAAATGTTTTCTTTTTTATGGAGGGGCCTCGGTGGCCGAGTGGTCTAAGTAGTTACTACTGTAATCACTAGCCAGTCAACACTGAGGTTGTGAGTTCAAACCCAGCTCGTGCGGGTGCACTCTACTCCAATCTTAATTGACTAGGATTGTCAGTTTTCCTATCGAAGGTCAGTGGTTTTCTCCGGGCACTCCGGCTTCCTCCACCAATAAAAACTCGCCGCCACGAAATAGCCCAAAAGTGGCGTTAAAACACCAAAAATCAAAATCAAATCTTTTTTATTGGCAAACAAAAATTCAACCAGTGACAAACAAAGTTCACTCATAAAAATTGGTCAAATGAGAGAACTTCACACATCAATTGTAAAATCTGGACAGAACACTGATCATCTGATCATATTTGCATATGGATTTAACCTGTAAAAAGGAAAGGGCACTTTATATTCACTTTTGCAATTTCAATTTTAAACAATGTTCTGTAGGTCAAAATGTGAAAAAATGCAAACACAAGTGCTTTTGCTCATTGTTGAAGGCTATGCAGTGACCTATAGTAGTTGACTTCTATGTCAATTGGTTTCTGGTGGCAATCATACCACATCATCTTATTTCTATATTTACAACAATGTGTTTTTTCCAGAAAAAAAGTTTAACTTACCGTACTGTCATCTAACATCTGTAGAAAGTCATTGAAAAATTTCAACACCTGTGGAATCTGTTGTCTGTTATAGCAATGAAACATAAAATGTAAAAGTCATTACTTCTTAGAGGGAAATATAGAGTTTTTTTTTCCAAAGTATATTAACAATATTATTTAATGTTTTTATTTTGTGTGTGTTGAAAGGCCATTAAAAATCTTATTATGTTCAAATGGGTAGATATCCACTGAAAAGTGCAGAAGGTATTTACACCTATATCATAAAATAATTATAATGTCCAATCTTATCTGACCTAAACATGATTGACAAGCTTATTTTTGTATTCATGCCCCATGCACAATTTGCAAAATTGCTTAAAAAATGATTTATTCAAAAGTATAACTTATGCAGCATGATAGTGCTCTTTGTTTAACAAGTTAATTTTTTAGTTGAGAAGGTAACATTTGCTCTTGATCCATGTATTTGATCACCCATATGTTGTCCTTTTTACGGGTATGAAATTTTCGTTGTTCTAATTCATTTTTGTAAATGTTTATTTGTATATGAGCAACTGTTTCACACAGTCAATTTCATAAAATTTTCAGTGTCCTCCAAATAAAATCAGAGGACACCTCTACACCAAATATCAGAGGACACCTCTACACCATAAATCAGAGGACACCTCTACACCAAATATCCTGTATGATGTGAATTAGCATTTGTACTACCCTTTCCATGAATACAATTACATATTTACATAAAGTACCAAAAAGGTCTTGAACTAATTCATATATAGCAGTATGGGTTTTACTCATTGTTGAAGGCCGTACGGTGACTTTATAGTTGTTAATTTCTGTGTCATTTGGTCTCTTGTGGAGAGTTGTCTCATTGGCAATCATACCACATCTTCTTATTCTTATATAACAGAAAGAAATGAAATTACCTTCCTTTTCTGGTTTGAAGAAGACCATCTATATTATCAAATAACAATACTGTCCCTTTAAAAGAAAATAATAGTTCTTTCTCATGAGGGGTTGACCATTTGATATTCTGTTTGAGACATGTTGATTTTTTGTATTCACATGACCATTAATTTTCAATAAGTGTAAGAAAGGTATGTATACCTAGTATCATTGTTTTTAGACAATCGGCTGCATGAATATTTACTTTTTGAGACAACACTGCAAGAATATTAATTTTTTTAGACAATGCTTCATAAATATATATTTTAGTCTTCATGAGGAACTATTTCAAACATTTTGTGAGTCAGATCGTTTATTTTCCAGCTCACTACAACTAAAAATTATTCAATTAAGCCAGTTGCAATGTCAGCTCATTTATTTTCAAAATTTTCCTGCATTATTGAAATTTTTTGTCTAACCCTTTAGGAACTTGTTTCCCCCCAAAAAAATCTATTCAAGGACAAGAAAATAATGCTATATTTTCTGAGTACAAACGTAAATATAGATTCTTACATTGGAGGCTCAGATTTTAAAATTAGATAATTTAACTATCTGAATTGGATAAATCCGATAATCCACGAGTAACTATGTAAGAATCTGTTTCTCTAATGATTATTAATTAAATTTTCAGTTTTGATAAACTAAAATCCCCTCTCACATTCCATAAAGTTGTTAATTTCATTTTATTCATCCAGTGAGCTGATAAAGGTTATGACCCTTAAACTCATACAATCATCTTCTGAGTTCATTGACAACCTCATGTTGATTAAACTTTTTTTATACAATTGGTTCGGAAAAGGTTAAATTGCCAAAGAATTAAAGAAAAGTTTAAACAAACAAAAATAAACAAAACAATTGTTAGCTAGCCAATGTGGCTGGCAGCAAGGGAGTATATAAAACAAAACACTTCACAACATCTCTTCTAATCTTGGACCTTTCACAGCATAAGTACTTTTCCTTTTTCGGAACACTAAAGGGTTAAATATGGACTTTGTAAGCATAAACTAATTTCATTGCACAGCATAAATTAATATAATAAAATTCATGCTGTAATCAACTGATTATGAACACAATGAAGTTTTCACCAAAATTTGTCAATGTGCAAAACAATTTATAATGTATACATATTGATAACTGAGATGTTATTCCATCAAGAGAGACTACTTTGCATGTTGGCACTCACTTCTTTTTATGTCAGGAATGATATTCCATAGTTTCTTGATCATTTCTGGAATATCTGTAGAACTGAATGTCTCATGTAGTTCTGTTAGTGTTAAACTCAGTAAATCTAATAAAGTATCCCTCTCTCTGTAAAAATACAACATAATAAAGTATCCCTCTCTCTGTAAAAATACAACATAATAAATTATCCCTTTCTCTGTAAAAATACAATATAATAAAGTATCCCTCTCTCTGTAAAAATACAACATAATAAAGTATCCCTCTCTCTGTAAAAATACAACATAATAAAGTATCCCTTTCTCTGTAATAATACAACATAATAAAGTATCCCTCTCTCTGTAAAAATACAATATAATAAAGTATCCCTCTCTCTGTAAAAATACAACATAATAAAGTATCCCTCTCTCTGTAAAAATACAACGTAATAAAGTATTCTTCTCTCTGTAAAAATACAACATAATAAAGTATCCCTCTCTCTGTAAAAATACAACATAATAAAGTATCCCTATCTGTAAAAAAACAACATAATAAAGTATTCCTCTCTCTGTAAAAATACAACATAAAAATTCCATAATGACTCAAAATATGTCATTTTAAAAACAGAATTTTAATTTGCCACAAAAAACATCTGCGTAAGATACATTTGTTTTATTTATGTTACTACTTCTAGGAGATTATATCAGTAAAAATTCTATGTATTTTTTGTATCCCCTACCCTATATATTCTGCCTCCCTAATTATTGAAGATGTATAGTAGAACACTTTGTACCTCTTGATGATTTCAAATTTCAAAAAACAGGCCAACCCTGAAAACCAGCCGTTTTCCATTGTCTATTGGACGGCCAGTTTTGAGAAGTTTCACTGTTCTTGTATTGTTCTGGTTCTCTTAAAATGAGAATAAAATTACTCTTACTCTTGTACATCAAATATGGCATATTTTCCAGATATTTTCTATCTACCCTAAACTTTTTAAGTCACAATGTGTCCTCAGTATATTCTTTAGAACAAAATTTCAAAATAAATAGGTTTTTAACATTTTGATCCCTTTTGCAAAAACAAGAAATTATTTGAATCTAGAATAATTTTGAATTCTGCATGTATGATGAAAACTAACCGTACCAAAGACGGTTAGCCATGCATGCATGACTAACAGTTAATTTTACTTTCACTGATATTTCAGTATGAACTAACTAACCCCCCCCCCCCCCCCCCCCCCCCCCCCCCTCCTAAATTGGGTTAGTTTTCATCACATATTTCATATCAATTTTCCAGAATTCAAAATTATTCCAGATTTAAATAATTCCTTGTTAAAATAACATTGCTTAATTTGCTGATAACCCATCATAAATAGTAGCTATTGTTGCCATAATTTAACTGTATTCTACACCGTGTGTTGACTTACCTCAAATCAATTCTGATTATCTTCCATCTTTGGTTTGACTTATAAAGACGGTAGCAGACCTCATTAGCTAAACTTGTTTTACCCATTCCTCCTAAGCCACAAATACAAACTCCTGTTGCAAAGATTACAAAACAAAATATTAAAAATTAAATTACGAATTTTCTACCATATCAAGGTTTTACCCATCCTATCTTGTTTTTTCATTGAATGAAATTTCATAAATTATACATTTAAAAGTTGGGCAGAATGAACTAAATTTTGTAAAAGTATATTAAGCCCTTTCACTAAGCTTTCACATTTAAATTGATTAGTATTATATTGTTTAAACAGGCAAAAATGGTTAGAAATAGTATAAATATACAAGAAACTTGAAGAATGGAAAACAATCTATGGAGTATGGGCTAATTGTAGTTTGTCTTTGAAAAGGAATGATAATATCAAAAGAACTCTTTCAATTCGGAATATATTTACATAATTTATGGAGAGAGGGGAAGGGATGACTTCTCTGATCTCAAATAAAATTAGCATACTGTAAATTCAGAAATTATTGCATGCATTTATTATTGCGATTTTGTCATTTTAGACTAAAATGCAATTTTAATTTTTGCAATATTGAGAAAAATCCTGTTTAATTCATATAAAAAATTTCAGAATGGGAGTTTGAATTATTGCGATTATAACCCTGTCGCATTTTTCACAATAATAAAAACATCACAATCATTTCTGAATTTACAGTAATTAAGGTATTAAAAAATTCGGACCATAAGTTGAGTCAAAGGTAATTTAATGTTACCTCTTACAGAATCATAGTGAGCAAAGTCACCAGATATTACTCCCTCAATCTTTTTAATGTCATCAATTCTCCCGACAAAGTTTTTATCAATATCGACTCCTTTCGTTCTCAGTGCTTCTCTATGTTTAAGAAGTCTTTCTTTGTACTGACTCAACTGATCTGAGACTCGATTGGTTCCCATGACTGTATGGTAGTTCAAAGTATCGGTCACATTTATTAGATAATCCACCAAATCTAATTTGTCATAAACTTTGTTGTTTTCTATGCTTCTAAAATACTCCATAGCTGTGGTAATGTTGGCAATATTATTGGGCCCAAGATCAGACCTTGAAATTTGTAGAAGGTCTTGGAATGTTGTGGGATCTCCATCAAGGTGTTCTGCAAGGTCATTTAGAATGGCATCTAAGGGGTCAATTAGGGTTGGATCATCAAACCCCACAGCTGGATGTTCCATGGTCAATGTCCTTTAAAACCTACAAATAAAATTTAAATAGACCACTTAAAATAATATGCGAATTTGGTTATAAAGAAGAAAAAAGTAGGTTAGGAAGTCATGGTAGGTACATGTAGGGATCTCTTTTTATTTTGAAATTTTTTTCTAAAGAATATACTGAGGACACATTGTGACTTAAAAAGTTTAGGGTAGATAGAAAATCAAAACCACATGTTTTTTTTGTTTTTTTTTAAATTTGGCCTTACACACTATAAGCATCATCAATCTGGTACATGTGAAGGTGTAATAAAAACAGTGCTTTAGAACTGGACCTAATCATGATAATTGAAAGAATAGCTTATATAACATTTTTACTGACAAGAAACCTTAGGCTTAACACAATGGTGTGTTAAGGATGTACACCTCTAAGGAGCCAAAAATTTCTAGAATTAAATTTTTTTTCTTAAGCTGATTTTTGCTTTTATATGACTGTAAAAAAATAATTGGTGAAGAAAAAATTATGTGGTGGTGCACTTTCCTTTTTGCTACGGCCCTTTGAAAGTACCCAATTTTGATGATTTTCCCATTTTTCATCAATTTTTACCTGTTTTTGGGCTATTATCGTGAAAAAAAATCACAGTTCCACAATTAAACTTTTTTCATACTTGCAATAAAGATGACGTGGACCAATCTGAATAAATTTAACCTAAAAAAACTATAGGTAGGTGTTAATATAAGAAAATTTTATCATATTTTGATGCTTTTTTTGTGTCAAATTTACCATACTGTCAATTTTGTAAATTTGTGATTTTTCTCTGTTTTAAGAACAAAATGCATATTATTTCAACTTCTTTGTTATAAATGATTAAAAAAAAAATACATATCTAAGAAATTTGAAAAGAAAAAAGTGGTAAGGGATGTACATGTTTCTGGTAAAATCATTTCTTGTACCCTCACCCATTTTCTCAAAATTTTGGCTAAAATGACTGACTTGATTGGTAATAAAATTTGAAATATTGAATACTCCAATACTACTCATTGTAAATAAACAATTTTTCACAGAGTTTAGTTTAATTATAACATTTGTTAAATTCATTGATATTTTCCACTTGTATCACATGTTTTGGAAATAATTCCAGAACGAGATTTCAACGAGACTGAAACGTCAGAAGAATACATCCTTAATTAGAATACAATTTCATTCTGAAAAAAAAAAAAAGGGAAGATAGGAATTCTTTTAATTTTGCTCATCTTACATTATTTTTACTTTCAAGTATGGGGAGACCTGAAATTTCATCATACAAATAGTAACCATGTAAACTGCCACATGATAATTTAAAAAAATTTCATTTTGTAATATTGAATTCATTAGTAATTATAATCAATTGTATACATCTGGTTTATATTTTTTGTGTCACAATTGAAAGATGCACGATCTATTTCTTTGGCATTTGCAGTTTTAAGTTGTGAAAATCATTTCAATTTAAACTATTGCCCCCCCCCCCCCCTCCCCCCATTTTTATTCAATATTTTATAAAAAGGGGTTAGAAACTTCTTGTTCATGTCGTTGATACTGCAAATCGTTGATGTCAGTTCCTTTAAAATGTGACTTCTGATTTGAATTTGACAGTGACAAAAAAGATACTGATTTTTTTTAACAAAATGACCAAAATAGCGCAAGAAAGTCTATGCATTAAGCATATATGTAGCTCCATAAGGGGGGCCAGGCCCTAGGCCCCTCCCTCTAAATCCACCTCTGCTATAAGCTGACAACATTTATTGACTGCTAATTCTTTTAACGTAGTTGAATTAAATGTAACTGATACTGATCAGTACTAATATAATCTACAGAGCCCAAATTTTTGAAAAACAATTTCGTGGTACTGTTTTTCTTAGCTTTAACAGTTCATTTCCATAGAATTTTCTTATTTTAGCTTTTAGTTCTATAAAACTCCTTTTCTAATCATACAATTTGCATTTGTACATGTATATATTAGTTCTCTGCAATTATAACCATCAAATTCAAAAGTAAACTAATTTTTAAGGCCAAAAAAAAATGTGTTTCTTTTATAGCAAAGTTCACAAAATATTGTTCCAATTTTCATGAAAAAGATTCTCATATAAGATGTGTTGCATGTATTGGATACTAAATTCTAACAAATGCTCCATAGTTTCATCAGACTCCTTACAAAATGTACAAAGCTTTGAATCTTTAAACTTAACTTTATACAAGAAAGTATTTTTAGTTTCAATTATTCTAAGCAACAATATCATGAATATGTATTGTTAAGTTCTTAAATATGTGTCTTTTCATAATTCTTTTAAAATAATATAATATTCTTACCAATCAGCAATTCCTGTGCCTAGTAATTCCTTACATTGCAAGAACTTTTCTGTTGGCAGTTGCACATTTCTTTGTATACAAATTTGGTCTTTTTGCTGTACGATAATCAGTGGTCATCCTTGACTTAGAGCAGCCAGGCTTGATATTAAGACTTTTTTCTACTGACAATGAAAGATAATATTGGTTATTCTATAATGAAATTAATATAATAAAGGCATGCCTATAATAAACAATATATCAATATATATTCACTCTTCCTTACAACAGAATGGAGGAATGAACTTATTAAAATCACTACAAACAAGATTTTGTCCTGATAAAAGTTCCTCCATGGTTAAATTTTCATCCATGGAGATCCCTGAGAAATGCACTTAGACGATAACAGGCTATATATCTGACCTGCAGACAAGTCCTTATGTCAATGTATGTATTGAAATGTTTATTTGGGTAGAGGTATGTTTCAATGTATTGAAAAGAAACAAACTTATATCATTTTGTTGTTGTCAATTCAACATGTTTGGAAACGACAATCTCTAGTTGTTTTTCACCAATGAATTACAATGGTTGACCTGAGGTCAATTGGCATAAAAGATGTCATAGTACAATTGGTTCTTACTGTGACTTAATAACATAAACATTGTGACATAAGGAAATTGCACAAATTTAAAAGACTTCTTTTGTTTATTTCTGCAATAGTAAAGGGGAGGAAGGACCTTTTACGGGACATCAGGATTATGTCTGTTTTTTCGCAGGAATAAGGGATTGGGACTTATTTTTAAGGGAATTCAGAATTGACCATTATCGGGACTTGGGATTCAATGATTAATTTTTCAAGATGGGGGAAAGAATGTCTTATTTTTGGGGGAATTAGGGATGCATGACATCCCTCCTATCACCCCTCTCAGAGTTCTTAAAAAAAGTGGCGGTCCGACGGTCTTGACCACCAAAATTTTGGTATATTGCAATAGAACTAATAGTGAGAAGCAGCAGATTGTTTTCAAGGACAACCAGGGAAAAATAGATTTGGAGAACTCTGCACTCTTATAGTCTTAATCATGTTAATAATATAATGATATTTTATCTTATCTAAAAAACACTAGGGGATATCCTGATATCATCTTAGAGTGCCTGCTGCTTCGTCTGCATAAGAATATAAATTTCAAACTTACATTTGACTGGTAGTCAGGTTCCGTTTAGCTGTGTGGTCTTCACCCGGTGCCAGGATATTGCAATGTGCCAATGACTGCTAAATCAAGACACGCATTTGTTTCTGTGTGCCACGCATACCTTTTTTGTAGGCATTGACATTTTAAATATGCATGTGATGGTTGCCACAATACTTGTATCAGCGATTTCACTTGTCAAAGGGGTATTATTATCGTGTCACCATGGCATGTGTTTTGTTGCCTGTATTCTACTTTCACTTTCGATGTTTGAATAGACACCGGAAGTCAAGAATCTAACTAACAAAACTTTTCACGTAGTGGAATTACAAAGTCTCCGTAAATTATGTGTTTTTACATGCGGGAAATGCATCGTGAACTGATACGATGTCGTTTACGTCATGATGACGTAATTTATTAGAAAAAGGCACCAACAATGTATATCACAGTTGAGTATGGTGGTGAGTCATTTTTTTACAACGGCACTTCAAGCAATGATTTTTTTATCAATATCAGTGCAGTGCATAACTAAGTGATCATAAGTCGTCACCTACAGATTTTTTTATATAATCTTTCATATCAAACACATATACAAGTCTAAATTTTAATTGTTAATGTATTTGGCTCAGTCAAGTTTCATTTGTTTTGTGTTCTCAGGCCTGGCATTAACCTAGGCCTTAGTGTTAACACACAGACAATCCAGTTACTTCTTTATTTAAGTATATTGAAATATATAGAAAATTTACTGGCAAAAAATACAACTTGTGTGTTAATCATGTACAGAAAATAAAAACACTTCATGACCAGCAAAATCGCCTTCAAAAATGAGCAAAACCGCGAAATGACAAATGTAAAACATTTCAAACGAGAAAACAGCTTTAATGCTTTTCTCAAACTGTCAGTTTAACACTAAGTTCGTTATGGTGTACTGATTGATAGTTGAATCAGAAAACAGGGTTTATTTATCAGTTGTACCGGTATAATTGGCTTTCAACTAGCTTTCAGTAGCCTAGAGTTCTTTTTGATTGGCAGTTTGTGTCTATTGCTTTTATGTTAGCTTTTTTTTAAAATTCTTTTACCAATCTATTGAGTTAAGCCTTTTCAAACCTGTTTGTATATCGTTCTTAATTATATTGAGATCTTGTTCACAAACTCGTGTAAACCCGACACATTTTTGTCCCAACTGGGGAGCCTGTAATTTTTTGTTATGAATCAGGCTTTTATTTTTCTCGTTTGAATATTGTTTCACATTTTATCATGACAGTGATGTAGGCGCTTGTTACAGTTGGCTTTACGGTTTGGGTTACAACAAAATCCACGACATCTGGATTCTGACAGATAGTTATATTATTTGCAATCATGCAACATAGATCTCCTTATCTTCAAATGTATCTGACCTGTAGACAAGTCCCTATAAATCAAAGTTAAACATATATAAACTGAGAAATAAAAGGAACAGTTTATTGTCTTATGTTTAGACTGAGCCTTATATTGTGTTACAGTGGTTCCAGGTACAAAAACCCAAAATCAGATTCTCCGGATTCATTTGAACATTGGATTTACAAATACTTGTGGTGTCATTTTTAATCTCTTTTTGTAGACAACCAAAATCTTCTAGTTAATCCTGATTGTCCAACGAAGATCTTTACAGAATATATCCATAAGAAGTGTAATTTTCCAAAAGACAGTAAGTACAATTTACTATCTCAAGAAAATGCCTAAATGGCTACGACCAATAGGATACACTTTCAATAACATTTGTTGAAAAGCAGTACTTCTGTTATATTTACTGGCTTACATTTTTTAGATGAATTGGCGATTTGCAAATTGTATAGACAACCCTGTCTATTTGTTAAGGACTCATAATAGGTTGACCTGTAGATATGTCTTTTGGTTGTTTGTGGAGTTGGTATGCCTTTTGTTTATTTTTATTTGTGTGTCTTTAATTGTAGCAGTCGATTCTGAAATTGCATTTAGACTACGTTGTTATTTTAAGAATACCATTTATTGCGTAATATGTATCTTAACTGCTGAGTATTAAACTGTCTCGATTTGATGTGAACCTGAATATCACAAAAATGTTGTTAACTTGGTCTTGTTTATTTCATTCCCTTTCTCTGTTCTAAATATAACTGTAATGCTAATTTAGGAGAAGGTATCATGTTGTCACGCATAAATAAACAAAAAACTTATTTTTTGGGTTATCTATACATGATGGTATTGCCAGTTTATTTTTAGTTGTTTAGTATCAAAATAATCTTATTAATTGAAATGCACAAAACAAATTCTCCAACAAGCATTTGATAATACAGATTAAATTGTCACTTATTTTCAAAGGTAATTTGCCGCCTCGTTAATCTCGTGGTAGCATGTTCGCTTCGAGTGCCGTATTTCCTTGGTTCGAACACCAACCGGGTCAAACTAAAGATTTTTAAATTGGTGATTTTGCTGCTCCTCCGCTAACACGACTAAGCAAGTGGCATTAAAAAGTAAGAGCGAAGACTTTTCTGTTCTTTAACACAATAAGGGTATGGTGACATTTCTTCGTACGCACTGTGAACTGGCACGTTACACATCCGGTTCAATGTGTCGATCTAGATCTATTAAAAAGCAGGGTTAATATTCATTTACCACTCATCGTGACGCCATCGTCATCCTCGTCGTCGTCGACGTCATCATCATCGTCATCATTCATCGTCGTCATCGTCGTCGTCGTCGTCGTCGTCGTCGTCGTCGTCGTCGTCGTCATCATCATCATCATCATCATCATCATCATCATCATCATCATCATCATCATCATCATCATCATCATGTGTCGTTTCTTTTCAGCACTGATAGATTTGACAGACGAACATGCCACACAGTTTGATTTGTTCGCCAAAGATCCCTTCGAGAGTGCCTTTCTGTTGTTTCAGATGAGGCACACGTATCTGGTTTGCACTGTTGAATGTAAGTAAAGATTGATAGTCGATCGGAAGTGGTAAATATTGAAAAATTGTATGATCATCTTGTCACAAATTCTATTTCCATTGAACTTTCTAGATTTCTTCTATTTATACCAGAGTTAAATGTATTGATATTTATTAGTTAATACATATATATGATATATAATTTAAATCCTGAATTTGAACTTCTGACTGGTGACTTTACAAAGCAATATTTAGAGTTGCAAAAATGAGGTTTATGTCCATCAAAAGGTAATTTATCATGATTGTGTTTTTGTTTTGTGTTCATTTTTGTAATTCTCGTCTGTTATGTATGCTCATACTTACCTGTGTTATATTTAGTGTTTTTGCGTGACCCATTTTGGTGTAATTTGCAAATCATACAGTTATTATCACTAAAACTATAAGGTTTTACATTCTACAAAAGCTTAAACCATTTGGTTTCATTGTTCCGAATATATTTTACGATATATATATTCTTTTAATTTTTTTCAACTTAAAGCTTTATATTAGAGCCTACTTGACAAAGCTTTATCCACAAAAGGGCTCTTCCAATGCAATACCTAATGTGTGCATATTTTTTTTTTATAATAATTGACAACCACCTATAATTTTTTTATTTTTTTTTTACATTTTTTTGAAACAGTACATGAAGACAAGTCCTTAAAGAAAATAACACCAATCTTGAAGGACTGGGAGAAGAAGTATCCAAATTTAGAACGTATGTATGAGTATACGGAGATATAGGAATAAGCCTTAATGAGACAGCAACTTTCATGCCGTTGTTTTTTTCTCTTTTGAATTGTTTTACATTTTGCCATGTATGGGATTTTTATAGCATGCAATACGATATAGGTTTTGCTCATTGTTGAAGCCATAACGGTGACACATAGTTGCTAACATCTACATCATTTAGTCTCTGGTGGATAATTGTCTCTAAGAGAATCATACTACATCTCCTTATTTTATATCAGAGTTAAATAAAAAAAAGAGCGATTTAAAGATCAATATACGATCTTATGTTTGACAAGAACGATCAAGAACCTCATCAATATACCAAAGTTCTATTAATGGCGTCTTTGAATTTAGACTTATGCTGAATAAATTCAATAGGCACATTTAAAAATCTGCAAAAAATTGGGAAACCCCTAAACAAGGGTTCTGACTTGGGATAAACACACGGATGAGTGTGGGTTCAAATATATTTTAGCAGTTCTGATCACAACTGTCTCATCCATTGAAGAATAAAAAGGTACAGGGAAAAAACCGCACCAAAGACTAAACAGTAATAGAAAAACGGACGAGAAAAGACACAGTAACAATACATAGAACTATACGGATTATATCGGATTTCTTCCTGAATAATCAAGATAATTAAATAGTTAATTGTAATCGATCGTCTTCAATGTTTGACTTATTAAAGCAACTTGTTATTATAACTTAAAAGCTCTAATTTTTGGTAAGAAAATCCTCATTACAACACAAGCATATTCATACAGAATAAAACTGAGAATGAAAACGGGGAATGTGTCAAAGAGACAACAACCCGACGAAAGAGCAGAAAACAGCTCAGAAGCTAGTTTGTACGTTTGTTTTGATAGCTTATGAAATTTTATTTGATATATTCCAAAGAATGCACCGTAGATATTTAACAAAGGGAGATAACATTAACATATGATAAACACACAATTAACATGTAAATTAATCAGAAAATAATAACAAAAGATTCCACCTATATATATATGTGACTAGACAGTAATGATTTACCATTGCCTGTCTGCTCTCTCAACCCCTACAGTTTTTAGCAAAAATGTTATCATTTTGAAGAATGTTACAGACTATACATACTGGAACTGTTCAAAATTTTTAGGATTTTGATTTTTGGGAATTTTTCACAAAACGCCGGGTATTTGAGCTTAAGTCAGTTTTGTTCAAAATGCGGTGAAATGTTTGTCTGCACAACTCTTCCAACATATGTTTGTCTTAGCTAAGATAATTTAATTTTGCGGAATGTTAATTCACACGTACACTGAAAGTATGGACTTTACTCTAATTGTGTATATAGGACCGCTGTTGCATTCAATGTTTCTTCCCTTTATTTTAGGAAAACTGAGACACAGAGACAAAAAGGCAAAGCAAGGAGAGCAGGGTAATTATCAATATAAACAATGTTCTTCTTTAACTAAAAGACATGTCATTTTTGCTGTTAACAATAGATGTTACCAACAAAGAATACCATTATAATTACTGTGACACTATCGTTGTGATCACAACCTAGTCACAGATAATTTTATTGTTTTCAAAGTATTTTTATTTCAGGTTTGCAGTACTTCTATCATTGATAGATGTCTCATTGGAAATCATACCACATCGCCTTATTTTTTAATACTAAATCAAAATGTCTATCGCAATTAATATGAAGACTTTAAATTACTGATTTGATATCCAAATTTTCGTTTATAAGTTACGGTAATTCGTTGGATATGCCACTCGTGGAGTAGGAACTGTTTACCGTACGCAAAACCTGTAAATCCCATGTGTATGGAGATAATTAAAAGGATTAAAAATATTTTGTTTCGAGTTTTCTTTTTTTGGTTTTATCAGCTCTTCAATTTTTTGAATACGTTTTGGATTTTCAAATATCTTGCCATTTCTTGGCCTTGAGTTTCCCCGAAGAGATATTTATTGTCGAAATACGTATCTGGTGCAGTAAAACTGGTACCGTTAATGTTACTACATATCCTTAGTTTGATACTAATGTGTTAAATCGCTTCCATCCCACACAGCAATTTTTTTTGGAATAACCTTCATCTGGTACCCCCGAATGAAAACTATAGAATGACCTACGTAAAGTTTATGATGAGTATCAAAACTAAAACAAACATAAATAGAACAAACAATATCATTTATGGTCAACTTAAACAGCCAATACCGTTTAAGGTCAACTTAAACAGCTAATACCGTTTAAGGTCAACTTAAACAACTAATACCGTTTAAGGTCAACTTAAACAGCCAATACCGTTTAAGGTCAACTTAAACAGCCAATACCGTTTAAGGTCAACTTAAACAGCTAATACCGTTTAAGGTCAACTTAAACAGCCAATACCGTTTAAGGTCAATTTAAACAGCCAATACCGTTCAAGGTCAATTTAAACAGCCAATACCGTTTAAAGACAACTTATTAAAACAGCCAATACCGTTTAAGGTCAACCCAAGTTAAACAGCCAATACCATTTAAGGTCAACTTAAACAGCCAATACCGTTTAAGGTCAACTTAAACAGCCAATACTGTTTACGGTCAACTTATACAGCCAATATCGTCTAGGGTTAACTATGCTTGCCGACGTTTCAACCTTCCATTAAGTACAATAACTTAATTTATAAACCCGGAAAAATTTACAGTTAATAGAGTGTATTATTTAAATCATGTCAATCCCGAAGCTCTGTTTACTGGGTTAACAGTCCATTGAAAGCTATACTGAGATTTGACTTAGTTGTACAATAAAAAAGAATGTTATCGATTTAAGTGAGCACGATACTAGTTTATGCCACCAATAAGATGTACACGGTACTACACACTGTTGTGTATGCTACTGATTAAAAGAGAGGCAAAGGATACCAAAGGGACATTCAAACTCACAATTCGAAAATAAACTGACAACGACATGGCTAAAAAGAAAAAGACAAACAAACAACATTACACAAAACACAACATAGAAACTAAAGACTGAGCAACAGGAACCCCACCAAAAACTTGGGGTGATCTCAGATGCTCCGGAAGTATAACCAGATCCTGCTCCACATGTGGCGCACGATATTTTACATACATGTTTATGCTACCGATTTTAGTGCGAAAAATACCAGTTTTTGCAATAACTTGCATTCCAAAGTCATAGACTGATTTGCATTTGTTTTACAAAAAAAAAACGCACGGTACAATTTGCTCGGTATGCACAATCAATGCAATATCATATAAATTATAATTACTTAATAACTTATGATTGGTTTTAGTCAAACGATTTTTGTTTTGAAACTCAGACCTTGTCGCTCTGGCGATCAATAGTGAAACCATAGTATACAGAATAGAAATATAATACAAATAAATATTATATGTCTTTGATATTATATATTTGGTGCGTCTTGATTTACCTTCACCAGGTACGCTTAAATCAAAAAAATTAAAAGCTTGAGCCAGGGATAAAAAAAATACTTGACGAGATACATCACCCAAAACGAACATAAACAATAAATTAAAAGCCAAAAACTATATAAGGACAACTTTGCCTGAGGTAGTTGGAACCTTAGTTTCTAATTATGTCTTAGTACAGAAGAGAGGTCACTGTTTTTATGAAATGAACAACTGTAATGCACTGTTGATGAAGTCTGTGAGATTTATATGAATATCCACACATGCACAGTTTAAGAACTTGATTTTGCTTCTGTTCATAGAAGTCCTCTGTATGTATTTAATTTTTTAGAACAAGTTAGAGCCGGTAGTGGAGGGAGAAGACAAAGTATGATACGACCTGTTTCCTCAAAGAAGTCATCAGTTAGTAACAAGAAAAGTGTTAACTCTAACAAGAAGAAGAAGGATAAGAAATAGGAAAAGTAATAATTCTGACAAGAAGAAGGAAAACGAATATCATTTATCATTAATATTTATTGTATTGTGTAGTTCATATGAAATTGTTACTGAAAGTTGCTACGTCTTTTAAGTTTTACTTGTAATTAGATTGTTTGGAAAGTAAAGGTATATAAAATAAAAAAATATATATGACACTGAAGATGTATTGTTGTATGGGCGCATAGGTTTATTTTCTCATAGTTTTTATTCTATTGTCCAAAGATTGAGAATTTCTCAATATTAATGCAAATTATCTTAATATCTCAATTTAAGACGGTGCACTGATTTTTTACATATTTTATCATCCTTTTTTTAAGTTTAATGATTCTGATACATGTGTATAGATAGACAGAAGAATCTTTAAATGAAGGTGTAGCTTGTTATTTATTAAAGATTGAATTAATGTTTTCCTAAAAGAGGCATTGCCTAAAAAATCTATTTTTTTCAACAACACCAAAATATTAAGTAACAATTTTTTTTATCAAAATGAGTGTTCATTCTTCATTGAAGAAAAAAAAATTCCTGTATGCAAGTATACAAAAACTGTCATTCCGGGTCACAGATAACCTTATACTATAAATGAAGAATAAGCAAATGCATTTTATTGCAGAAAACTCTCAGTTTAGAGTTATACATTTTTATTTCATGTTTAAAACAAATCACTGATAATTGTAACTTAAATTAGGCGAAGTTATCAACAAATATCAGATGAATATGATTTTAAAAGTTAAATAAATATATTGCTTGCTGCAAGGAGGTTATATTAGTATCACCTCCTTCCATTGACTCAGTTTGGCTGGATAAAAAGTAAATAAAAATACTCTTAATAGATATGGTAGAGTGAAAAGTTTTCTCACAGATAACTTTGGTGCAACCACAAATATTTTATCATACTCAGACAACAGTGTACAAGAGCTCATTATTGAAAATATACAATCTTATATAGTACACTACACGGTGGAAAAAATACCATTGTGAATGTTTAAATAGTAAACAATTCTTCAGAAAAACAAGATACTGATTTAGTGTATGATTAAATTATTTATTTTTTGCATGTTTCGGAAATACAAAATTGGTCAATGTTGTGATTTTTTATGCTCCTCATCATACGAAGTGAACGATTGGAAACCCCTTTTCATTCTGAAAAATGTTTCAAGCCCCCTTTTATATCCTTTTAGCCCCATTTCAGTTTGAATGAGCAGTCCCTATCTGCGAGGACTCTTAGATAAGTAACTCGTGTCTATTGTCTTTGTGTAGGTTTTTTTCTGATTCGTGCCAGTCTAATGAGAAGCCATTTGCAACTGATTTTAAACATTTGTCTTATGTTGTGCTGTTATACCACTGTTAGGGTAACGGGGCGATCGAGTCTCAGGGGCGGATCCAGCCATTTATAAAAGGGGGGTTCCTAACCAAGGATAAAGAGGAGGGGGGGGGGGTTCCAACTATATGCCCCCATTTAAATGTATTGATCGTTAAACTAGAGGCTCTAAAGAGCCTGTGTCGCTCACCTTGGTCTATGTGCATATTAAACAAAGGACACATATGGATTCATGACAAAATAGTGTTTTGGTGATGGTGATGTGTTTGTAGATCTTACTTTACTGATCATTCTTGCTCCTTACTATTATCTCTATCTATACTGAACTTGGCCCGGTAGTTACAGTGGAAAATATTTTGTAAAAATTTACAAAAATTTACAAAATTTATGAAAATTGTAAAAAATTGACTATAAAGGGCAATAACTCCTTAAGGGGTCAATTGACAATTTTGGTCATGTTGACTTATTTGTAGATCTAACTTTGCTGTACATTATTGCTGTTTACAGTTTATCTCTATCTATAATAATATTCAAGATAATAACCAAAAGCTGCAAAATTTTCTTAAAATTACCAATTCAGGGGCAGCAACCATACAACGTGTTGCCTGATTGGTCTGAAAATTTCAGGGCAGATAGATCTTGACCTAATGAACAATTTTATCCTTGTCAGATTTGCTCTAAATGCTTTGGTTTCAGATATATAAGCCAAAAACTGCATTTTACCCTATATACTATTTTTTTAGCCATGTCGGCCATCTTGGTTCGCGGGCGGGGTCATCGGACACATTTTTTAAACTAGATACCCTTATGATGATTGTGGACAAATTTGGTTAAATTTGTCTTAGTAGTTTCAGAGGAGAAGATTTTTGTAAAAGATTACAAAAATTTACAAAAAATAGTTAAAAATTGACTATAAAGGGCAATAACTCCTTAAGGGGTCAACTGACCATTTTGGTCAAGTTGACTTATTTGTAGATCTTACTTTGCTGAACATTATTGCTGTGCCATCTTGGTTGGTTGGCCGGGTGACCGGACACATTTTTTAAACTAGATACCCCAATAATGATTGTGGCCAAGTTTGGTCAAATTTGGCCCAGTAGTTTCAGAGGAGAATATTTTTGTAAAAGTTAACGACGACGGACGACGGACGACGACGACGACGACGGACGACGGACGACGACGGACGACGGACGCCAAGTGATGAGAAAAGCTCACTTGGCCCTTTGGGCCAGGTGAGCTAAAAAAGGGCGGTTCCATCCCCCCCCCCCCCTGGATCCGCCACTGAGTCTTCAGAAATATTTTTAACTCCGCCACATTCTGTGTGTTCCTCTCACAAGTAAGGAGCCATTCATGAAGTGATTGTCGTTGGTAACTGTATGTTTCACTCTTATTTGTTACTCGCATATTATTTTGTCATAAATCAGGTCGTTGTTTTCTCATTTGAATTGTTTCACATTTTGTTACGGCGAGAAATTTTATAGCTTACTATACGGTATTAGTTTTGCCAGAGACATATATATACACAGAGATTGGCAACTTCGTAAAAGGTTTGCACATCTACATAAGTATGCATAACAATAACATTTTAAACAAACATACATTAAATCAATTATGACAAGCACTGGCATGATAACATAAAACGAAGTACTAGATAAAATGTCAGCACTAGAAACATGAACATGAATACACATATATGGCATACAATAGATTGTCATTAGATAGTTCAGTAGCTGTCTGCTTCCACGACTGGACCGTTGACACGACCACACTGGCGTAAGAGTCTGGTTGTAGATATGCCGCCTTCAATACAGCACTTTTTTTTTGTGGGGTAGGCATTTGTTGCCCCCTTAACAAAAAAATGTATAACAATCTAATAGGGCCTGGGCTTATCTCGCCCTTTATTTAAATAAATTCAGATAAAAATTATTCTGTTCTGCTATCTTTTCGATGTCTTTCACACGTTGTTCTGAGTAGAGAAAGTTTCTCTTATCTCTGACATCTAACCAATGGTCATGGCTTCTCTTGACATCCTTATAGAAGGCTTCATTGTCTTGTTTCTTTATTAGTCCTTGTTCTTTTAAGGTCTCACAATGTGCCATTAGTATTGTTGTTTCTCCTTCCACTTCAAGTAAGTAAGACTTTTGTGGATGGTCTAGTGTGATTTTTTGTATTATTATCTGTAGATAATAATCTGTAGATAATACCGATGTCGCAGGAAAAATGGGACACCAATAATACATCGACTTGGGATGAGGAATAAGTCACCATAAACCCATAAACTCGTCGTGGTAATGCGTGTGGGCCATTTCTGCATTAAATGAGTCGTCCAATTTATATATACTTTATTATATAATCTGCAGCGGTGACTTTAGTCTGCCGCCTCCCCGATTTTAATAATGACCAGTGACTCATCATCAGCATCTACATGTCTGTCTTCTTTTGATGACATGGCAAACTCTGATCTCATTCTTAATTTGGCTGGTGGTTTATAATGTGTTGCCCCTGATAAAGTTGTTTCATCAAATTCATCTTTGACAGCTTTAACACCCTGTGATATAGTTTTATATGAAGCTGTCTTAGATATATTTTGTGTAGATTGTGATAATTTCTCTGCAGCTTTACCGGCAGTTTTGCCTAATTCTTCAGTTATCTCCCCTGCCTTCTTACCAATATCTGATTTCTGTACTTCTTCAAATGTCTCTGACACCTTTTCTCTGACTCCTTTCAAGCTCTCTTTTAGACCAGATGTTTCTTTTTCTATATTTTCAAATTTTTTTCTGGCTTGTTTCAATGCATCAGACTGTTCTAATTTCTCTCTTTCCTCCCTAAATTTCTTCAGGTTTTCTTTCATTTCTTTGTTCTTTTCGAAGTCACGTTTAATATTTTCAAACACATTCTGAAAAAAGTTTTTCCCACCTCCAGAATTATATCTGATCTGTGTGAATCTAATATCAGGTTTTTCATTCTGTGTATATGAAGATGGTAAATGTTGTGCATATAACTGTGCACTTTGGAAGGATACAGTGTGTAATCTTCTTTCTTTATAAATATTATGTTTACACATACAACATCTTACAACCTGGGAAATATTAGAGTTCTTGGAAACTTTGAAAGCATGGCCAAAAGTTGCCATATTTACTTCCGGTACCCATTTTTGTGTTTGCGGCGTTCCTTTCTTTCTCTACCAGTTGTCGATTTACATTCGGCACCTACAAAGGAAGCGGGGCCTTTTGGCGATGATGTGGCTGTTGGTAGTGGAGGAGCTTTATCTTTCTTAGAGATTTCCTCGGCCGGTGCTTCCGTTGACGAGTCTGTCTCTATTGGTTGAGCGGTATTGCCTAGCTCATCAGGTTTTGAGGAGTCATTGTCTAACATTAGAGCTGGAGTTCCAATCTCTGCAGTTGACTCGGACTTTTTGGCCAAAAATGCCCTCAGTCTGCGGTTATTCCTTTCAGAACGGGACTTTGATGACTTCTTTTTAGGTGGTAATGTCGACCTCTCTCTTTCCGCTATCTTCCCGGGTGTCCATTTTACAGTAAGTTTGTAACATCCATTCCGAGCTGATAAAACCCAGTCTGCGGTTTGGTGTTCTGCCAAATGCAAAATGGTAAAGATATCACCAGATAATACGGGCTGTTGTTGGTGTGTTTCACTGCCATCATCAGACATTATGAGAGTTTCCTGACATATTTAACTAGTAGTATGTTGATTACTTTGTGTTCGCCTTCAATACAGCACAACGATACACAGTAGACATAGTAAATGCATGACAAAGGCTACTTTACTTTTTATAATTTTGAAACCAAGCCTTAAATTTCTCAATTTTTATTGTTTTCAAACCATAAACAAAACCTGGGAACAGTATATATATATGTTCCTGACAAAACTTACCAATCAATTTTTCAACAACAACAAAACCTGCTTTGACTAGAATGAATGGACATTCTCTTTGATATTTACTTGAAAGTAACATTTGCCTTTCACTGATTGCTCGTTAGTGTTTAATTATTCTTAATTCAAAGACAAAAGTAACCAATCCGTTTAGTGCTATAAAAACAAATTGCTGTTAATTGAAATCCTTCAATTGTTATGATAAAATATCGGATTATGATACAATTAACAGGTTTCTTTTCAATTGGTATGCAAATAACTAAGCTTACAAGAATAAAGTTATTCTCCAATAATACAAAAATTACATGATAATGAATAATGTATTTACAATTATATTTTAAGAAAGTGAAACATCATTTAATTTCAATAATAATAATCTAATAAATTTTCGTTTTTATGTATTCTGTGTAGATTAGTTTTCATTTAAGTGGGGCGAGTTGGCAGGCCTGAAAATTATATATTCATCTAGATTTTACCTTTTTTTCATTAAGTGGGGCGAGTTGGCAGGAGAAAAAATAACAGGAATTAACCCTTTTCACAAGTGGGGCGATTTTTTAAAAAGTGGGGCGAGTTGGTAAACCAGTTTGGGGCGATTTTTTTAAAAGTGGGGCGAGTTGGTGAAAAAGTGGGGCGATTTTCCAGTGGGGCGATTGTCCTGCTTGGTTTTCAAGTTTATTGTTTTCTGTTTAGTACTAAATTTAAAATTAAGACCCATTTATTACATCGGTGAAACGTTTATTTAGCAATCGCCAATGGCAGTCAGCAGGGTTTAAGAACATTTGTTGTTCGACCTGTTAGTCAAATGCGTTTTGTTAAAATATACTTTCTCACTTTTTTGGTCTTTTGGAAAATGTTGTTTGTGCTGTATTTAGACACAAATTTGTTTTGCATGCACACGTATAAAAATGCGATTTTTATCCAACGCAATCATAGGTTTGAACGTTGTTTTCAATTTAGGCTTGTATATATATATATATATATACTAGTATATAAAAAATGTCTGAATAATAGCCAACGTAAGGTTTTTCAACTGATCTCAAAAACCTTACCATCACTATCATCAGAGACATATATACACATGTGTATATATGTCTCTGCTATCATAGACCACAACGAGGATTTGTCAATTTCATTTCAATCAATTTCCTCTGTTTATTTTTAACTAAATTATTTAAATGTGTAATTCTATTCTGTAAACAGTAGTTTACAATGATTTAATTCATTATTAAAAAAAAACCCTTTCATATCCTTATTATATATGTTTAAAATAAGGATATCATTATCTTTGATCTTGATGGGTATTTGTTCGTGGAGTGCTACAGAAGGTGTAAAAATAAACTTAGTCGGGTAAAATCTTTGTGTTCTCTCACCAGCTCTCACAATAGCGTGACAATGGATAACACACAAGAATATGTGATTTTAACATTTTATCTTGGTGAACAGTGTCAAATAAAAATTTAGATTTTCATTTTTAAATTACCATCTTCTGCAGTAATGAAAGAAAAATGCACATATTTAATATCAAAATCAATGTGTTTTACTAGAATCATAATGCATGTAAATTTCATATATCTGTTAGTCA